ATCACGATACATAATTCCAGTATATTCAGAACATATCTAATGATTCTTTTTCTTTCGGCCTCGCTTCTCACCATCTTTCCTCTTTCTACCAGCGTTGGTCGAACTATCTGGATGGGCCGCCCTCCACCGGGCTAGATGACTGATTTCGATGTGCCAGCCGCATTCGCCCTCTAGCCTGAACAACCTGCTAATTCTGCGAATCTGCTCCGTCGCAGCGATTGGTGCGAAGTCACTTGGGGCAAAAAACTCGCGCTCAGCATCGCCTCGAAGTGCGGGACTTAGTCAAGAGAAGAAGTATTTTGATTCTCGAAGACGAGAAACATCCCAGCCACCCTTCTTAGGGATTTGAGGAAACTCCAAAGGCACCCAGACCTGGAGCGTGCTCTTATCGGCAGCAATGCGGGAGGGTGGTTTCTTCTTCCCATGAAATCCGCCACTCGGAGGATCTTTTGCAAGATCCTCTGCATCTTCTTCAACAAGATGCATGGTCGATTCAGTAGTGGTGCAAGGCTCTGCTATCCCATCCAGAACTTCGTCTCTGATATCCGTTTGCCGTTCTGCCGATTCTTTTTCTTTGGTTTCACCAAGCAGTTGGAGACGGAAAGAATGAAGTGCCTTCGGATCCTGGTTCGCGAGCCATATGCTTGTGGGTGTCTCCATCTCTTCACCCTCTTTCCTTTGCTTGGGGTCTTCGCTCTTTAGCAACTGTTGCCGCTTGGCCTCTAGTGCAACTTCTTCGAATGAAGCATCTTGTCGGGCCTGCCTACTGCTCGTGGCTTTGCCTCCAGTTTTTAGATGTTCCGTCCTCCACTTCATTATCTTCCGTCCGGCCTCTGAATGGCTGATCAGAGTAGCGCGATACATCGCTCCTGCATAGCGTGCAGAGAACTCTGCGGCAAGACGAGCGATAATGTCCTCGCTATGCATGCGTACAAACGCGTCGCGAAGGATTACGTTCAGGTTTGGGATATCAGACGCATGTGTCCAGAAACTGTCATGTACAGCCGCGAAATCGAGACCCATTTCGCTGGCTTTCAATGCCGACAGAGTCATGTGCGTGGCATCTAGAGAATGAATAAAGTTGGGAGGAAATGCTTGCAATTGTTTACGTTTGTCAACCTCGTCCTGTTGTGATTTCTTTGTGATGGTGATATCCTGAATCTTGGTTCTGATTTTCTGGACGGAATCTTTTCTGTACGGCTGCACAATGGGCATCTTTAGAGGGGATGTCCAAATGATGCTAGTCTTGAACTTCTCCATGTTCTTGTTCAGCTTGTTGATCTGGAGCGCAGTCACCTTTTTGGGGGCAGCAAACTTCGGGTCATATACTGCTCCCGCAGGATCCATCCCCTCAAATCGTTCCTGAATCCGTTTGATTTGTTCGGCAGATATCGATGTTGTGATACGGTCACCGCATTCGCCTAGCCAGTATTGGATTTCTTGTGCGCCGTTGAAAATCTTGCCCAGTGCCTCAAAGATTCTTTGTGCGACGTACAAAGCAACGACTCCGAGTGACTTCACTTTTTCCGTGGGCTGAAAATGAGGGAAAAGATTGCGAAGTTCATCTTGGACCTGTTGCTTCGCTCCTATGAATGTGACGCCGTACACGTTGGTCATGACCGTCCGCTTGACGACCTTTCGAGAGATGTGTCCATCTATGAAATTCGCAACAGGTAAGCCTTTGTTGGCATCTTTAGCAACCATTTCTTGCACGAGCTCTGCAACACCGGTGTAGATGTCCTGAGGTCTATCCGAAGGCTCAAGGTTGACTTGGCGAGCGCCAGCATGGTCACCGCCCAAGGCCGCGTAATGCTGTAGTCCATTGCAGGTTCCATCCTGATGGACGGGTAGTTGTGATACAAAGCGGGTCGGATCAGGTAGGTCGAAAGCGTTCTTCAACTCAATGCAGCATGCTAAGCATTGCCACGGATCTTCGGCCTTGGTCCACCATCGCTGTCCCTCTAGGGGCTGACTTGCAGAATCGCAAATCTCACTCATGTGGTCCATGGTGAACTGCTCACGTTCTCGCAAACTTGCCTTGTCAAAGCCGTACAAGTTGGCAAGATGGATCTTCAGCCACTGCAAGCCAACGGTACCAAGCTCTTTACCATGTGCAAACTTAAGAAGACCTCTTGAGAGATCCGAGCCAATGTGGTTGAGAATAGGTGGTATTGGGTACGCTCGGCCTCGGAAATCCACACTGTGAGGGAAGTAGATTTTTTTTTCGTTGGCATACGCTCGGGCAGTCTCAAGCTGGAAATTTTGAAAGCAGCGTTGGGAATGAAGGCCACCAATTGTGTCCTCATACTCCTGAAGAGCCTTATTCCATCGTGATCGTTCTTGGAATGAAGCTTCCGCAGACGGTTCAGAGGGGCGTTTGAGACTTGTGATGGCGTCCTCACCAACCAAAGATCCAATGCTCTCACCAGCATTCCAAGCACGAGCCATTACGTCAAAGACAGGAGCGTTGATCTGCCAGGGAACTTTTCCTAGGACATCAAGGCCGGCCATTACCTTGAACATGTCACCGTTTTCTATGGCCAGCTGAGCATACGCCCGCTGAGCACTATCACCACCTTTTTGACGAACAATCTTCTGTGGCACAGTATAGTATCCACCATCTTCAAAACTTGACCAGGGCTTTGGTTCAACTACCATCGGCAGCCGAACCGTTTGAATGCTATGAACAGAGTCTGTACGCATCTTATCCATGAGCTCATGATGTGGCACTAGGAAACCAAGTTTTTTGCCTTGATGGAATCCAATTTGGTGGTGAAAAGCAGCCATGCTGCGAGAGACTGATTTGCCGGTTCTCGGGTCTTTCGCTGTCACCACAAGAGTTGCTGACTGAAGTAGATGTTCGATGCACATAGCACCAAGCTTTGTCCGAGCCGAGAGTGGCATGTCAACCTTCTCAAACTCGAAAATGCTACTCTTCGCACTTTGGGTTTCTGTTTCTGCGGATGATGACGCAACTGATTTGGCAAGTGTGCTGACCAAGTTCAGGCGGGTTTGTTTACGTTGCTTTTTGAGAAAAGCGTCTCTGCGAGTTTGGGTTTCAGCATTGAGATAGTCCTGAATGTCGTTACCCACGGCGATGGACAGGGACGCTATCTTGAGAGCAGAACTGTCTTCTCCTTTGCCTTTTACCGCAGATGAAGTAGCACGGGCAACAGTGATGGCCGCTAATTTCTCAGGTGTGCATCGTTCTAGCCAAACTCCGTATTCGTGAGCGTCGTCTCGCGTTGTGGCCTTTGGAGGTTCCAACAAAACTTTCTTGGCATCCTCAATGCGCTTCTTGAACAATGGTACTAGGGCTGTATACCAACCATACATTATGGCTTGGATAGGCTTTTTGTTCATGATCCCATGGATGCCAATTTCCTGCAGTTTCTCGTCTTCAGCTTTCCATCTCTTGACAGCGGCTTCCACACCATCCTGCTCCATCTGAATCTGTCGTGCGTAAGCGTATGCTTGATCCTTCTCCTCTTGCGTGCCCTCCATGTCGTGTGGATAGGGGACACAGTCTCCATGATCAAAGACATTGAGTGCCTGTTTCAGCGAGTCGAGACCCAGACCCTTCTGCTTGACAGGCTTGATTTCCTGTGCTGGATGTGGTACAAGGCCATGAGCGATAAGATTGGTGCGGCCGGCGGGTGTGCTGACATGGAGATGTTGAACTTGCTCAACCGGTGGAGGCTCGTTGAATGACTCGGGTTGAAGACGAATCAAAAGATCCCACTCTTCGTCAGAAAAGTCGGGTGAAGCATTGATGCTGTCAACAACATGCTCACCGTACTCGCGCGCAGTGGCAATGTATGCTCGGACGGCATCTTCTGCGGCTCTGCCGTCGAGGAAGTGCATTGCCGAACGTACGAGAGTGACAAATGTCTGGGCACTGGGTGGAACGCCCTGGCGCAGCATCTTAGTTTCGTACCAAGTCTGTATCTTTTCCATTGCCGAGGCTTTCGTGTCGTATTGACCCAAGTCCAAGAGGGTCTGGAGGTAGACGTTGTGTGCGTCAATCACTTCGGGTGCATCTGATCTGTATAGAGTCATGAGTCGCTTGACGATTACAGCGGCACGATCTACACGACCGACCCGTAGACAGGCATATAGATTTTGGTGTAGCTCGGCAGGGTCGCTCCCGACACCGGGAACGGCTCGAAGTTGTGGCATCGAAGCCAGTGAATCGTGAATGACCAGGGGTTCGGTAGGATCCCATAGCGGTAGGCGGGCGAGGTCTGCGTGGGGTGGGTTACGGCCAAAGACTTGGGTGAAAGGATTGAAGGAAAGCGACGCGGGCGGCGGGGGCTGCAATTCGGCCGTCGTAGCGAGCGAGCGTGTGTCGTTTCGGGCGGCAGAGATCGAGGAAGAGAGGGGGAGGGACAGTGACGAGCGACGTTGTCGACGTCTTGTGGTCGAGTCGTGTGCGCTGCGTCTTGCAGCCATCGAAGGCGTCTGCGAATGCGCTCGTGACAGTGCAGGACACAGCCATGGCAGCGTCAGTTGGTGGGAAAGGGTTGTGGGCGTCCTAAAGGCATCTCTGCGCAGTTTGCGTCCGGCTACCCGTGTAAGCATTGTGCCCAATGCCTACTGTCGTCTCGAAGCGTGTACTGGGGAGGGGTGTGGGTATCTAAACGAAATGGACGCCAAAAGAAGAGAAGAAATAAAAAAGGAAAAGGAACCCCCAGGATGCTTCAACGCCAGAATATGAGTTGGACGGATTGCGCGCGCAGAGGAGGGGCGAGAGGCGGCATGTAAGTAGGTGAAGGCAAGACGGCGGCCGACATGGATGAAGATTCTCGATCCAAAAATCTCCAGCCCTGTCGAAGCGTCATGGCGAAAGTGGCATGGCGCCGAGCCCTTCCGAGCCCCACTTGCCACCTGCGCCACCTGCACCACCACACATGCAGCTGCGTACCACATAGGATTACCATATAGATAGTAGTACTAGCACTGCATGTGCATACCATGTCTACAAGACAAGAATGCATCCATGGCAATAACAAAATGGTATTTAGGAGAATAGTAATAATTGGTATTCGACATACATCTTACTGAGCTTTTTGCCCTAAAAATCATCATCACCATCAACGTGGTTATCGGACGCTTTCGCAGACCCTGTGATCGCTTGATCCTTTGCTGGTGCTGTCTTGGTTGACAGTCCATCCACTAGGAGCAGCTTCTCCAGCTGGTCGTCAATGGGTGCATTGAACATCTCCCTCTCTCTGCTCTCATCCTCCTCCCAGTCTTCCTTGTCCTCATTTCCGAAGCAAAACAAATCGCCTGCCTCGCCCTCGATCCTCTTCCTGTGCTTCCCTTTTACCGGCTGACAGCCACCAATCTCTTGGCGGAAATCGTCGGCATATGCTTGTGCAATCCCCGACACATTGGCAGCTGGAATGTGCTGGCCGTTGTAAAGCAATCGTGGTAGATGGGGAATTTCGGGAAGATCGCCATCAAAGGGCAGGGCTTGGTGGAGAGGCACTGCGTCAGCCATGGCAGATGGCTCTATGTGTTGGAGCGCCCGCGGCGATTGTTCCGTGCGAACAAAGGCTTCTTCCTTGTCTGTTGTGTGTGTTTGCTCATTGGTAACTGTCAATGGCGTACTAAACTCGTCTGGAGCATGATACAGCTCGTTGTGTATTGTGACTAGTGCATCAGACATGACTGCGGGGTATAGCAGTGAGTAGCCCCGGGCTCGCATGAATTCGAGCATATACTCGGTCCAGGCTGGTAACGTCTCTGACACCAGCTTCTTCCGAGTGGCTTGCTTGACTGGACCTTGATTTTTGGCCACTCGGTGGCTCAGGAATGAGTGCAGCTCGGCCCACTTGTCGCCCAGGAACAGCGTCGCGTGACTGTTTGGAGCCTGCCATAGGAACGGTGCGCTCTCAGCTTTCGGGAACAATTTCTTATATCGATTTGTGTTCATATCACCAACCCCCGGGGGTTCCAGTCTTGCCTTGTTGTCCAAGAGCATTGGTGGCAGCTCAAGGCTTACACCCATTAGATCCTCGTAGTCATGAGCGCCATATCCGGAGTACTTGTATTCCAAGAGAGTATACTTGATAAAGTGAAAGTACTGCCGGGCGACCTGTGCCTGTGAAGAAAGCAGAAGCACGTGCGAGTTGGCGGCGCTCGCGGGGTAAAACAGCTCCAGTAAGCGTATCGCCGACTCTTGCTGGCTGTGGCCATTGTCCGCGATGCGCCGCCTGATGGTAAGTCCGCCTCCGAGGCCGTGCTCGTTGCCGTTTGGCGGCCACTCGAACTCCTCCATGTGTTTTTTCACGGACGCGTCGAGCTCGGCCGGTAACTCGATGATGATGCGAGGCGGTCTCAGGCCACTGTAATCAGCGTCTTTGATCGACTTGAGCAATCGCATGACGCTCGAAGAATGTGGCGGTACCTGTATCAAAATGTCTACGACAGGGTCGTGCCATCGCTTCAGTGAACCGGCGTCGAGTCTGGTGACCCACGTGAAGTCGTCGAGTCTGTCCTTGGGCACCTGGATGAGAGGCATATGCAGTGCGCTGGCCTTGGTCTTCAGTGCCCGAACAAAGAAAGCGTCCTCTGACTGCGGGTCATAGAAGAAAGCAGCCTGGGGGTGAAGGAAGGCTTTGATGTGCGACAGAGCGCCTTGCACGGCCAGCTCAGCGCGCGCATCTGTGCTGTATCTGTAGATGTAGTGTCAGCAGCAAGGCCGTGAAGCGGTGGTACAGACGTACTCTGCATAGTCTGGGCGCGCATCGTGCCACACGGCGGGGCACTCGGTCTTGTCTATGCCATTGATTTGCAGCAAGTCGTCCAGGGGGATGCCGTCCCTTCCCATGAAGGCTACATGGACGTGGTTCCTGTTCCACTTGGACATGTCGCACGCCAGAGACAGCAGGACCGAAGTGCTCTTGAGGCTCGACACGGCAAAGAGGACGTTGCTGTTGTCCTGGTCATAGCCGGCCGTCGACGAGGCCGACGATCGCAAGGAGCTGGCGAGGCGGAAGAAGCGGACCTGTCCATCGTAGACGTGAGGTGTAGGGTCGCCGCGCTTGGGCTTGCGCACGCCTGGCGGTGGGCCGGTGGGCTCGTCGTTGTCGGCGTCGTTGTCGGTGTCGTCTGCGCTCGGCTTCTGGTACGTCGAGGTCATGGGCTGGGTGCGGGCCGAGGGGTATTGCTGCTGCTTCTGTGCGAGGCGGCCATCCGAGTCGTTGGCAGGGGTGTGGAAGAGGTAGTAGAGTAATAGCAGGCCCGTCACGGCCAGCAGAGTGCGCCGCCGTCGCCAGCGCAATGGGGGGCTCCAGGCGGGCCAGGCGGGCTTGCGGGCTGGCCTGAAGTGGCGGTCGTCGTCCTTCTTGCCCAATTCCTCGTCGCCGACCAGCATCGTGTTTCTAAACATGGTGTCGCCTTCTACCGCGCAGAGACGCCGGGCATCATGTTGGACGGGAATGCGCGTGCAGCAAGGTTGGGGATGACGCGACGGCGCAGACAGACTCGTGCCACGGGGCTGCCACTACGCATGTGTGCACATACAGTATATGTGTACACGGCCCAAAAATCAGCAGTATCGGTTGTGATTGACGAGGACACGCGCAAGGCGGGCCAGGGTATGCTGCCGGCGTGTGGGGCAACGGGTGCACAATAGTAGTCTGTACATGTATAGTACAGTACATATATACATAAGAGTACTCATGTCCTCGGTTGGGTAGGGCCATGCATGCTACTAGTACATACTACTGCCTACGTATTGCTACTCATACCATCTGCCATCCCCCGTTCCTATTGCATCCAGCCCTCACGCCTTCTCGTGCTCGGCCAGTCGCTCGTCTGCCGCCCTCAAGGCCTCACGCAACATCCGCTCGTTCCGTGGCTTGAACACGACCTTGTACGCTCGGCACATTGTCACGAGGCTGGTCGGGTCTGCGCTGCCTCGCACCGGGTGCACATCCACCTCCGAGTCCTGTACAATCTCGAAGCTGTTCAACATCCTCAAAAACACCAGGTACAGTTCGCGATTTGCCAGCAGCGAGCCTGCACACATCCTGTACCCGATCCCGTACGTGTGCAGCGGCGCGTCGGGCTGTTCGAGCCAGCGCTCTGGCCGGAATTCGTCTGGGTCGCTCCAAACATCGGCGTCTAGTGGCAAAGTCAGCATTGCCCGCTCCCCTCTCCTTCTTCGCCCCACAAAACCACTTACCCATGTTGCACGCCCATGCGTTCAGATAGATCGTGCTGCCTGCCGGGATGAGCTTGCCGTCATACACCACGTCCTTGACCGTTGCCCGCGGAAGTGCCAGTCGCAGGACAGTGTAGTACCGCAAGCACTCTCGGACTAGCGCTACAATGTATCCGCACTTCTGATCATCATACGCATCCGCTAGAGGCTCGCTCTCCGAGTAGAATTGCCGTATCTCTCGAATCGCCTTCTCCTGAATGTCTGGCCTCTGGGCAAGCAGTGCCACACTCCACTGGACCAGTGTCGTAATCGTGTCCAACCCTCCGGACAGCATCGTCAAACTGATTGATGTCAGTTCTTCCTTGTTTAGTGCCGCATCTTTGTCTTGGATGATGTTTGCCTGGATACATGGCTTATGCACACCCTTCGCCATGCGTTCGTCCAGGTCGCGGTTCAGTTTGGTCAAGTACACGTCTCTGCGATTACGGTACTCTTTTGCCGATCTCGTACCGAAACTGAAAGGATTCAGCCTTAGTATGGGAATGTAATCCTGCAGGTTTCCGGTAGTGCTGCGAAACTTTGAAATTGCGGCCTCGACTTCACAGATCTCGTGGAACATGGGATCATGCCTACTGCCCATTCTAGTCCCCCAGTTGAGTGTCAATGCAAGTGAAAGGGATAGACGCTCGATCATGGGCATTGGGTCCACGCCCACTGTGCCGGCTTTGCCTGATTCAAAAGCATCTTTGACAAATTCCTTCGTCTCGAGGTCAAGATGACCTATGTACGTTGCGATAGAAGGCTTGTTCAGCGCAGACGCAGCGCCCTTTCTCCGGCGCTTGAGCGAGTCGCTGAAGGGCGAGGTGCCAATCGTTGTGCCAGCAGTGTTGGAAAGTACCTATATCACTAAGTCAACTTTTCCTCGCCCATCCTTGATCAACTCACCTTGTGAAATGTCCAGAAAACAGGCCTTGAGCTTAGCGCTTGACTGTTGCCGCCAAACAACTTTCTTGCAGCCTCCGCATTGTTCACCACAATCACTGGCTCGTTCCCAAGCTGGATCTGGTACACTGCACCAAACTGCTTGCTCCATTCACGGTACTTTTCCGCCGCGTTGTACTTGATATCGGGAATATTGCCCACCAGTGGCCAGTTTCTTGGTCCGGAAAACCCCTTGATGCGTCGAGAGTATCGAGCATATTCATTGCTGACAACGTACAAGACGGGAATTAGAACCGATGAGAGGACGAGGGATCGAACTGGATGATCGACTAGTTGCGAGGACAAAACTACAATGATGGTGGAAATCATTATGGCGACTGACGTTCCGTGTTGCTGCGGGTATCAACAGACATGGAAAGAATCTCGTGTGCACGCCAACAATCATCACATCAAGGGCGGTCGACTTATCACTCTTTACATTACCTCGCCTATGTGCCACTTGCTACAGAGGGTAAGTACCATGGGATTCCCAGATAATGATACCCGCTAACAATGCGGGGAAAACAGCCGGGTATTGCAGAGCGCGGAATTAATGACAAGAAGCGGAATGCTGCGCATGCACCCAATAACGTCATCACGCCATGGTCTACACTACCTTACCCTAACAAGAATTGCATGCGGATTGCGTTTACTACGACAACAATGTACAATCTTTCCTACCCTTTGCAGCAAATCGCGAGGCAATGGTTTCGGTTGGATACGCAACCCAATTGTCTTCTTGTTCTAACTGGACAATTGCATGTAAGTAGTCCTGAATGCTGATCTGAGACCATAATAAGCAAACCCATACATGGACTCGTCTTCTGAGATTTACCCACAACATGGAGCAGTCGTAGAAGCGGGTTGATTTGTAAGACTTCATGGACAAAGGTACAGTAGACACGTGCTCCCCACTGCGGCTATGAAGAGATATCCATCGGAATATACCCGTAGTCTATCGGTAGTTTGACTAGACCGACTATTGCCCTCAACATGACGCCTAGAGGCTCTGAGAAAATCAACGGCAGATCCTTCAATAGCCGGCGCTCTGCGTTATGTTTTCACTACGAAGGGCCAAAGGCTCCCTTGCCATGGCTTTCAAAGCCAAGATTCAAATTTCTTTATTGGTACTCAAACGTCAGCAATTATCTCTGAACGCAAATTCGTTTGCTAGCTGGAGGAAGGCATCGTTTACGTCATACTCAAAACTTCAATTTGTCCCTTTTCTGAGTCTCAGGATCCAGTCTCCTCCTTAGAGCCAATTTTCGTGTCGACAGCCTTACGTGAACTATTCGGATGCGGAGTCAGGAGCAAGCGGCCGAATGGAAAGAATGGGTGATAGCGACATGCTCAGCTGAATGATTTCCTAGAATTGAACAAGTCTTGATTTTCAGTCACATGGAGCGATGGACACTGTCGGACAGGAGAAAGGAGTCACAGCACGCAAGGTGTGTGATGTTGGATCCAGAACGACTGCAAACATCCAGTCAATTGCACATGATGCAAATGTCAAACGCTGCACAGGTCTAAGGCTGCCATTGCGAATGACACCTCGATCGCAGTGACACGCGCGACTGTCAACGCATGGACAAATCACAAGGAGTACTGAACAACATCAATGCCCATGAAGTCCAAGCACAGAGCACCAATGAGTGGCGCCTTACAAACGTTTGCTCATTTGATATAAACCGCCTCCTTGCGCAATTGATGTACACCTGTTGACAGAGCATACCCTATACTCGCATTAAGTAACGGAATTTAGATCAATATCCCAATTTGTCATTAGCACTATTGTTCTCTCCTCCCGACATATCATTCAAGTTTCCACATCAAGTTTACAAGTGCAAGCCTGAAGGAAGCAACAGACACTACATGAGGGACACTATTGGCTTCACACCACCTTTGTTGGAAAGGGATACCGACAAGTCAGCCGACCGATCTAACAAACAATACTCTTATGCCTCCATCTTCGATGAACCACAGGGTTATTTTGAGGAGGCGCTAAAAGACAGCAAGGGCTGGGATACCTTGCATGGATACCATGACTTTCGCAGCCAACAATTTGGAGATGCAAACGAGGTTGACCAATCCAACATGGCGAACAGCAGTTTCGATAAGGATGAACTCACGGCTCCTGATCAGAAGTCTTTTGCGCAAGCATCGCAATCAGCTGCTGGAATAGACATCACTCTCCCGCATAGTCCAGGGAACAGTATTGAACGCGTTGGCCCGAATGTCTTAAGCCACGGACCGAGGAACGAGTCTTCACAGTCATATACGTTTCATCACAGATCCTTCTCTGGTGAAGAGCCCTCATTTACCACCGCACTCTCTGCCCCGCCACCCTCGTCGAGACATAGCAGTGCATCTCCGCATATTCCAGGCCAGCATTACGGACCGTTTCTTGGCCGATTTCGAACCTCAGAAGACGCAAAAGTATACCGCCGGGATAAAATGCGTTTTGGAAGAAGACCATGGAGAGATCCCGATAGCGACCCTACCATCGCAAATACGGAACACAATCGTGATTTTCATGTAGAGCGCATTTATAACGCCATGATTTGTGGAGATTTTGCACGAGACAACGCGAAATCTACCGCTCTGAAGAGATGGGTTCACGAACCACATTACTCGTCAGATCTTGTCGAAGCATATGCTCACAAGGTATTTGATTGCTTGCTTGAACAGGTCAAAAAGGGATTTCGAGGTTGGAACCAGAATGACTATGTGAACGATGAGAGAAAGGGCGAAGACGACGACAAGGACATTGACTGTGCAGGCCGTTTGGGTAAGTACAAGAGCGGGTTGCGACTCCAGAGAGATGGGTGCTGATTTCGCAACTCTTAGAGAACATCATTGCGGCACTACATCAAGAAAAATCAATTTGCGAGAACGTTATGAGTTCAGCCTGGCAGATACGCATGTTTGTGAACGCACCCAAGGCGTATGCTAAGCGCAAGGATCAGAATCGCGTAGGGAATAGCAAGCGGCCTAATGCAAAGAGCAACGAAGGGGCAGAAGGTGAATCACGTCCGTCAAAGAGGCGGAGGAACACGGTGCAAAGCAAACAGGCACAACAGCTTTCACTGATGACCGAGCCCGGATTGTCGCGAGGCTCACTCCCTCAGCAACAGTACCAGTCACATTGCCAACCGGCGACAGAGAGGCCTCCAGAATCCAGGCTGGCCGCACAGGAACCTTTCATTCATTTTCCTTCTCATTCACATGACGGTACTTTTGGCCACCAAGGGACTATCGCCTTGACGCCAACGACATTATCGAGGCAGGTTCCTCTGACTCCTCAGCAGGAGAGCCACTATCGCACCGCATCCATGCCAGTGATACAGCAACCCCCCTTCTCCCCTCTGCCAATCTCACCTGGGACCATACCTGAGGCGCATACACCAGATAGCACGAGGCTAGCGACCATGGCCCACCGCTTCAGTGGGTGGCAGGGTGCGACTCACTCCGACTTTTCAATCAACACATCTCAGCAGCTGGGCAATGCCGATTATACGATGGTCAGAGACAACCGAACATGTAGCCAGCCTTTTGCCGGCTGCATTGCGCCTGCCTATGACAACACGCTGGAGCAGCCTGCTCTTTCAACGGGAATAAGCCTCGCCGACACAGAGATTATTCCCTCATTTCCAACCGAGGAGCAGTTGCAAGATGATATCTTTCAGCAGTATTGGGCGGAACAATATTCGGACCTGCAACAACCCCCGTGCAATCCAGGAGGACAGAAGCATCTTTGACCAGCCGGGTGACTTTGGGAAAGTTTCCCATTGTAGGCGGTCCGCTTGATTGCGTCATGGGTTGTTGGCACTTGAAATTCTTCTTATGCTTACTTTGATCCACAATGTTTTTGAACCTTTGGACAACTGTTCAGCCAGGCTTTTTTTTCTCTTTGCATTTCTCATATAGCAAGATGTTTTGTATTCTAGTGGTGCTGATTTAATTTCTTTTGTATAGCAAGTGTGCATATTCGAAGAAGAACAGCGATTGGTTCGCATGGCATGGATCGGCAGAGGTGGTGAGCTTGTAGGTGGGAAAGAACATTGTGAAGATCTACCATGGTCTCTGCAGCTTCATCCCTATCCAACAATCTATTTCTAGTACTATACACACCAATAAAGGAAGAGTGGTCTCGATATAGTAAACCTCCCAGTCTGTATCTAGCTTAAAAGGCTGGAAGAAGTTGACTTCACATGTGTTTCTGTTGGCGAAACGACTGTCATGATTCTACTCAACCAAATCTCTCAAAATTTACACATGTTACTCGAGATGACCTGAATCCAATTAGCGGACATGCATAATCATTTGCACAGGGGTTGCATCACGGACGAAATGTTCGAATGAAAATGATGGAAAGATTCACAGCTCCAACAAATGGTGGGTAAAATGGTTTCATTGAAAAGTTTATATCTACAACAGAATCGAACGGTAATTTCTTATTTCCAACCAACTCACCAGGCACGATCAATTGCACTGGTGGTCTTTTGCTTCGTACGAAGCTTAACCACGGAAAGCTCGGGGATGAACGCCTCCGGCGGCCATGACACTGCGCACCTTGTTAGCAACACCAGAACCGGCATTGGTGCGGAGCCAGGTGATGAAGGTGTCGAGAGTGAAGGTCTTTGGGAGCGCGGAACCGGAACCAGAGTTGGAGCCAGAGTCGGAGCTGGAGCCTTCGACTGGGACAGGCGAAGCAGAAGGCGATGTAGCAGGGGCAGAGCCGGAGTTGTCGACTGGAGAAGGAGCAGGAGCAGTGGAGTTGCCAGAACCGGAATCTGAGCCGGAGCCAGCACCCATAGTGAAGTCTACACAAGACTCGTATGTCTGGTTGATGGTGGGTGCATCCCAGAACCACTGGATCGCACAGACACCAGCTTTGTTGCAGTGATCACTGACGTCGGGCATGGTGATGCTGAAGTCGGTCCACTCGGGGTGCTGGCTGAGGGGAACAGAGGTCAAGGCGTACTTGTCCCAGCTGATGAGGGGCTTGCCGATGACCTTGTCGGTAGCGAGGTCGATGACGGAAACATTGGCATGACCGTCGTGAGGCGCACGAATGGTGACGTTCATCTTTACCACCTCGCCGGGGGTGTAGGAGTAGACTTGGGTGTGATCGGAGAACGGAATACCCTTGCATTGCCAGATACGGCAATCAGGGCGGCTGCCCTGAAAGTTCTGGATAGAGCCTTGGACGTTGCCGTACATGTCGGAATTCTGAGTGTTGAAGACCTGGTCACCGCAAGCTTGCTTCAGACCATTGCCGGCTTTTCGAGGAGTAGGGTTAACGATGTTACCGTGAGCAGCAACGGAAGAGGCGAAGCCTGCAATGGCAGTGGCGATAACGTAGGACTTCATTGTAATGGATTGGTTGTTGTTCGACAAGAGCGATATGTGATGTACAGAGAATCTGAAGCGTAGCTTCTTTGAGAAGAGAGTGAATAAGAAGGTTGTTTTGAAACAAAAAAAAATGAATGGCAGGTCTCAGACCTATGGCAAACGAAGGAACTGTGGGTTGAAAGTGAAGAAACGGCGAGTTTGATGGGTGGAAGAGGCTTGGAAGAAGACGACTACTGATGGCTATATACAATGGAGCGGCATGACATTACTCACGTCGAGGGCTCCATGTGTGGATCTGATGGCTCATCAAACGCATGAAACAAGTTCCCATCGAACTGAATTCTTCACAGCGCTGACCCTCGCTTGTGATTCAAAACAATAGCTTCGCGCCCTGTCGCATCCCGAGGACAGACTCGGCGTGGGTCCTGCTGTTATGCTTGGTGGCTTTTTCCACCAGTTGGAGGCATGCGTCAAGTAGCCAAGGCCGGAGGTTTCCTTAAAATATGACAGGGTGAACAAAGGCGTTCCTGCGACAGCGGGCACCATGCACACTGACAGTTTGGTGGCTAGGGTTCCTGGTAGGCTAGCCGTAAAGGGAAATAAAGACGGGTCGTCTTATGTAGTCGAAGCGCCCGCGCGCCCGGATTGAAACGGTCGGGAACATGCGCCAAGTTTCAGGTCGTCCGACGCTTGGCTATGCAAAGTGCCGGCGGCATATTGTCTGTGGCGCTGGCCATTATGTCTTTTCCTGCAGTGGATTGGGGCCATGGCCAGCATTGCCTCGAATTCGGCCTGCTTGCTTTTGCTCTGTGGGAACCACTTGAAAGATATTGGCACAGAGCGGTTTTCTTTTGCGAGTCCTTGTCGTTTTGAAGACGAGTCGGGTAGTTGAGTGGGTTTTTGAGACTGGACCTGCAGATAGCTCGGAGATTAACGAGGGCGCCCAACCCTACTACATACACTGGAGCCAATCTTGTCTTCCATCAAGAATCTGTGGAACAACCTGGAGAGTACGGCCAGATTCGTGCATTGATGACGCACTTCAATGGATGAGCAGGTAATGATACAGGTTCGAGTTGTGCAAAGCAGATTGCGATGGCATCAAGTGGGTAGATTGCGTCTATTGCCAACGCTTTACTGATACTTTTGTCAAGAGCAAGATTGCGTTGATTTGCATCAACAACATGCAGAGTCTTCTGAGATTGACAAGCTTGCCATACAAGCATTGTGAGCTTGTACCACGATTGATCAACGGAAGTTGCCAAGGCAGACACAAGCACAAAATACCGTACCCACCGAACATGCTTGGATTTGCGCTGCAGGCCGGTGCGAAAAGTCCAACGGCAGGAAGTGGAGAAACATTTAATGATGGCCAAGCCTCGACTGGATATTACATATCTCCCAGCATCGATGACATTCCATGTAACTATGTACCTACGTAATACACACCTGCGTAGGCATGTATTTCCACAGTAAGCACGAAACATGCCGATAAATGCAGGGGCGCTTGACACCGGCGGCATGGCGGGGCATGTCCGTGATGGCTGGCGGTTTCATACTTATCGATTGTTATCAGCTTAGCACATGACAGACAACGCCATACCTGTGTACAATCTGCACGAATGTAAATCCCAATAGTCAGTCCTCACCGAGTTTTGGGACAAGCCGCTTCCAACTCGCTGTCTCATGTTTCAGCTTGTTCACTGTATTCTGCCACTCAATCCTTTTGTGGCGTTTCCACACCGTTTTTGAGGGGACCAAACACCATGTCCAACTACATGTACTGCTCGACCGACTCATCTTGTGTTAAATCAGAACAGAGCTTTGGAGCCTTTGAAAAAACAATGCCGTGTGTGCTTTGTGATTGTAGGGTATATGTACGTCTCACTCTCTGCCTTCCTTTCCCCCGGCGGCTCTTTTTGATAGGCTATGCCACAGATCAGGTTGTCGATTCTAGCTGAGGCGCGCACAATGACTGTAATGTGGTCGAATACTGCTTAGAGCGATGCGTCGATCGGTGTTGTCGTAGTAAGAAGTCGCTTTCATCATGAGATTATGCAGCTTCTCATGATGCTTAGGCAGTGTTATTGCAAGGACGTTCCTGTGCTCCTAACCTTAAAATTCGATCTCGTTGATACATGTGTACATGAGGATCGGGCGGGGATTGTGTTTGGCATAAGAGCATACCCATTGGTCTTGAGCTGTCTCTCTCGCGCGCGCTTCATGTCATTACGCAATTTGCTAGATCGAGACATGTCTAGCTATCGCGATTGCAAATGTATCTTTGTGTTGTAGCAATACGCTGCCAAAAGTCTGTGCTCCCTATATAACATCATTTATAGGCTGCTGGAAATGCAAGCGATTCCAGGGGGGG